ATTCACCTTGTATGTAATAGTCAAGACTTATGGGACATAAGTCCGTATCCTGACACAAGACCATTGCATGACATGTGCATTTTCATTTCGTATGAGAAGCTACTCTTCCAAATGCATTATCCGAGTTTGGAAGAGCCAGTGCACATGTGCTTTGAGAGGACCCCTGTAATTAAGTTAGATCATGTCCCACAGGGATACACCTGTAATCCATTGAGAGCCGAATGATCGGAAGTTCTGGCTCAGTGGCTTTGATGTGACCAGTTATGTGTCTCTACTTTAAACTGTGGAACATAGGTATATTGGGTTGATCTAAGACTCGACGGAACATCATTCGGGACGAGCCCAATAGAGTACTCTGATTCCTGTATTTATTAGGTTGAGATCTTATTATACCTTTTGTCCAATTTTATAATGATGAGAAAAACCTAATAATTTCTCAAAAATATTTTAAATATTTATTGTGAATTTTAGAGAATTTTTCAGAATTTTATTTGCTAAAAAAATGAGGGTTTTCAAATTGTTTGACTCAAATTCTACTTTAGTCCTGACCTGATAGTATCATGTGGCGCCCGAGTGGTCATAGGGCTGCCACTTGGCACCCCACGCCTAACTCTAGGATCACCGCCCAGTGGATACTGATCCTTAGGAGGGGATTAGATTGGCACTTGGTTTCTTGTTTTTTAAGGGGTTGTATTATGGTGTCTTGTTATATATTGTTATATTTTGTTACATAATATAATAAATTAAGACCTTCTTTTTATCACATGTTTTAATTAACTCACAAATGGGTCATGCATGGCATGTGTAAAGTTTAATTAATTAATTTATTTGATATTAAAGAGAAAATGTATTTTCAAATTTGAGTTGAAAAATATCTTCGTACACATGTGTGAATGAGACATTATCTTTAAATTGATTGGTTTTAAATTTTAGATCTACAAAATGATTGACTTTGATAAAGTAGAATATTTTCACATGTGTGGGCTTCACCAATTACTTTTTTGCCCTTTAAGCATTGTAGTTATTTACTGTAATGCATTATTTAAAAAAAACTAAGGGTATTTTTGTAAGGGCATATTGGATACAATTGGAACAAAACATGGGCCAGTGACAAAGTGGTAACGTGACATAACTTAAAGTTAGGTTGAGTTATAATGGTGTTAAATCTCATCCCTTCATCCTAGTGGTTAGATGGGGATGTTTGGCTCGGTACATTAGCATCTCATGTGCCTTTGGATTAGGGCATCAAGGGTGTTGATTGAGTCCAAGGTTACACCCATGTTATAAAAAGCACATCATGAGATCTCAACCCTAACTATCTTAACTCTTGAACCATTTTGGAAAATTGTTGCTCCCCTCCTTCTTCTAAGGTTTTGTGAGAGAAAATTGAAACGAGAGAGCTTTTAGAATTCCTTTAAAGGTGATATTGATGGTGATCCTCGTTTCTTATGCTTAAGTCCATAATGTACCTTTATCAAGGTAAACTCCATTGAATTTTCTTTTATCATAAGATCATATTCTTAGCATCTATAGTTGTTAGAGTTTTGAATTTAGAAAAGTTTCTTTGATCTTAGAATCCCCATTTGATAATCTTTTTCATCATGCTTATTTATAGTGTGGTCTTTCATGAGTTATAGCCTACATGCATGAGAATCCATGATCATGCATAGTATCATTTGATTACTTTGCTTCAAATTCATTAAATAATTTAGTCTTAGAGTGTCACTCAATTTTCGAAACTTTTTCATCACATTTTTACCTATGGGGGTTCATAATCTTTCCATACAATACTGTTTTGGTGGTTCGAGGGACCACAGTGTGTAGTTTAGTTATAACTTTATTGTTCTTTATCCGATTCGATTCAAACCATTTGCATTCTATTTTAGATGATAATTCCAGTGTGTTGAGATATTAAGAAGTGATTTTAAAGTGTGTAATTGCTTTCCATTTTGATTAGACCTTATTGTGAGATTTAACCACTTTTGTACAATTTGAATGGACAAAATTAAGTCCTTATATGGTCCGATTGCGTGGCCCCGACACAAGGGGTTCCAAACATGGCTTCCCTATTTTAATTTGAGATTTTAATTCCTTGTTTAATTGATTTTATTCCTTAGAATTTTGCTTTGTTTAGATTAGTTGCATGATGTATTTAAGATTGGAGACATAGTTTATGTAATTTGTGTTATGAAATTGTAATTCTTAAGTTAGTTTTGCTTTATATGTAATTACCCCATAAGGGGTTGGTATTTGAGTTTATTTACAGTGGTTATACAATGCTAGAAATGGTTATAATTGTTATTTAAAGGATTGTAACTTATTCACGTAGCTTGGTTTTTAACAAGTGGCTTGTTGAAGTTGCCCATTTTGCCTTGTTTTTTGGCTTGAAAATTTGCTTTAGTCTTTGTATCCACTATCAAGAAATGCTTGTAAACATTGGTAGACACATAGTTAGCAAGTCGTGAATAATAATACATTTGCAAATCAAAACATAAGTGATAAATTAGTATTGTTCCAAAAAAGAGGAAGAAAAAAATGGGTAAGAAATATAGATTGCTAAAATTAGGTAAATTAAAGAATCATGAATTTCAGATTTGACTAAATAAAATTATGATTTGCAATTGTTTTAAGGGTACACTAAAGTGAGCAATAATTTTATACCCTTACCTAATATTTTGAGGTATTACTTGACCATTGTTTGTCTTATTTTTTGCTAAATAAAATAATGATACTTACTTTGCTATCACGACACAAAATATTAAACATAGAATAAAAGAACAAAAACAATGTTAAACATAACAATTATATTAACAAATAGCAAGAACTACAACCCAAGGTATAGGATTACTGTTAGAAAAAAAAGAAAAATATAAGCTCCTCAATATAAGACTATAGTTAGGACTGTTAATGGGCCCGAGCTAGTCATGGGCTTTCTGTCCATTAGTTTCAAGTCGGGTTTGGGCTATATGTTAGCCTATGGGCCGGGTACGAGCACGGGGCAAGCTTGGTAGGCCCAAAACATTTTGGGGTAGGTCCGGGGCAGCATAAAATCTAGGTGGATCCAAGCTATAATCCACCGAATCTCATGATTTCATATTGGAAAAGTATATAATGAAACCATTTACCTTTGGTACAAGGTGGTCACCGTTATTCTTGAACATTGATATGAAATTGGGTGGGCACATTTATTTTATTGACCAAGCTCAAGGTTCAAAATAAATCTTTTCAAACTTTGTGACACACCTAAGCTATCAGTTTTTATATTGGATGGTTGTAAGTAATTGTGACCTTCCTATACAAACGGTAAATGGTCTCATAGTATACAATCCATCTTGTATGACCTAGTCAAAATCATATCATATTTTCTTGGACAAAACCTATACAGAAGATTTTTGAATCTTTTGAAAAAGTCAGATTGCTTAAGTGCCAGTTTGGATGTACCCAAAGTTGCAATATTTTGGATTGCAATTCAAAATTCTTGTGAAATAGATTTGAACCGTTTGGACAACCTCAAAATTTTGTTAAATTTTTAGATTGAAATAAAAAATACTGCAGGGTCAAGGCAAAAGTTACCGTAAAAAAAAAAAAATCAAGTCAGACTTGAATTTTTTTATGAAAGTGCAACTCTCTCACCCCCGTGCAAACCTCAACCCGTGACCCAACAACTCCGTGATACCTCACAACCCCAAATCTACTCTCTCTATGAAACAAAACATTTTCATTTTCTCTCTCTTTGAAAAAACACTCAAGCCGTGACAGCCCTAGGTGACATCTTTGTAAAGCCAAAACCCTTTCTCTCTCTACAATAGGCGAGCCTTTTCTCTCATACCACACCCATAGAAAACCCCTTATCTTCATGAATAAGGAGAAGCTCGGGTTGTAAAAAAACCAAAGAAGCTCAAGCCCCATCTATGGCCACCCTAAGAGGCATCACGAGCCTTTTCTCTTATACCACACCAATGGAAACCCCTTCTCTTCATGAATTAGGAGAAATTCGGGTTGCAAAAAACCAAAGAAGCTCAAGCCCCATCTATGACAGCCCTAGGCGAGGTCTTTATAAAGCCAATGCCCTTCTCTCTCTACAAAAGGCAAGTATTTTCTCACCCATAGGGAGCCTTTTCTTTTCATGAATAAGGAAAAACTCTGGTTGCAAAAAACCAGAGAAGCTCGAGCCCTATTCATGGCAGCCCTAAGCAGCATTTTTGTAAAGCCAAGGTTATTTCTCTCTTGGATAGCCTTTTCTCTCATACCACGCCCATGTGAAACCCCTTCTCTTCATGAATAAGGAGGGTTGCAAGTTTGCTTATTGTATGAAAGCAAATTTTTTACTACTGCGAGACATACAAGAAAAACTTTTGGATCTGCAAGAGAATTTTGGAAGGGTAGAATGCGATTTTGTTTATAGTATGTTAACTCTATCCAAACAATCCAACATAACAATGAAAAAAGATGGCAATGTTTCTTTAACCGAAAAAAGTTTATATAAGGATGCTACCTTACAATGTAGAACTATGAATGCCCCTGAAAAATCCATCAAAAAAAGTAGTTTTAATGTTGAAAAACCCTTTGATTGATGATCTCGACATCAAGATGTATGACTATGAAAAATTTAAAAATTTTAAGTCTAAAAAATAGTGCATTTTACAACATATTATCTACAACGTCCATTTTCAAGATTTTCTTATGTTTATATATCTACTTGATTTTAACCATCTTTGAAATTTAAAATTTTATAATTGGATATAAAAATAGATTTTGAAATAATCTTAAGAGCATTTTACATCAAAATTATATACCTTGAAGGTGCACCTTACCTCACCCTTCTTAACCAAGAAAACTTAACGAATTTTTTTCAATGCGAAGGTTTAAATTTTTTTTTTTTTCTAAAAGATCGACTCGCCGAGTATGCGCGGGACTTCGCCCGTAAATAAAACGCCGCCACTCAAGCGTAATTTCAAAAATTACAAAACGGAGCGGACACTATAAATACCTAAGCTTCCCGCCGCATTTGATTCATTTGATGCGCCTGGTTCTGGCGCTCTTTTCGTCTCCAGTATAAGGCTGCTTTTCTCTCTACAGGGTCTTCTTCTTTTAATCTAGGGCTTCTCTCTCTCTCTCGAGAGGAATTTTATTTTCCTTATGATGCAGAAGCTTAATTCTTCTGGTTTGAGGTCTCTGGATCAGTTCACATCACTACCTGGAACTTCGAGATTCTTCAATAACCCTTCACGATCTTCTCACGAAGTTGCATCAGTAGGAAGTTTTGCAAATCTTAAGCTTACTGCAGGTTTTCGCTCTTTCCTTCCTCATCCATTATCTCTCTATGTAAAACATCGGAAACCCCTTCCTCATCCATTATATCTCTCTGTAAATCATCATATTAACATTTATCTCTGTTTCCCTCTCTATATCTATTTGATTTCAGAGAAGCTGGTTCACGATCAAGCCTGCGCCAAAACAGACCTTGAATTTGCAGTAAGATAAATTTGTTTCCTTCGCTGCTCTCATGAAATAATCTATTCTGGCATAATTTATGTAAAGTGCCTGTATCTTCTACTTGACACTTCCAATTTAGGCTTAGATTGCAGTAACGCACTATTTTACTAAAACACTGAAGGATTTTTAAAAAAACTGAAGCTTATTAACTGCAATTTATGTAGAGGAGTGGAAAATTTTGATTAAAGCCCCCACACTTGGAAATATAGCATCTCCTTTTTATATTATGCTGAAATACAGGCAAATAATTTGGAGATTTGTGCCCCCTTTTAGGGTAAAATGATCAAAATAATCATATGAATGATTCATCATACATAAATCTTGAATTGATGTGAAAATTGACAACGTTTGATCTCTTGTGTTATAAAACATGTATATGTACATAGGTTTCTATTATAAAATGTGTACTCCACTTAAAAATATCGAATTCTGGTTTAGAATCATTTTGAGATATGATTTTGACCAAGATGTAGGTTAGTCAAGCAGGAATTCATGTATATCTACTGTTCCTAAGATCAATAGTTCTGGTTGGATGAATCTTACTTAAGAGAACCTGGTATATGTGGCAATGCAAAGGAGAAATGCTTAAATACTCTCAAAATCTTCGTTGAAATCATGATAATACAGATACTAAACTGGAATGTAGAAGAGTTATGCCTGAGTGAATGGGTTCTTATGTGTGAAAATGTTCAAAACTCAGAAGAAAAGTTAAACAAATCATGGTTAACAATAATCTGAGCTCATTCTCCTGTCTCAAGGCACATATATTCAGCATAATGCCATAATATGTTTCAAAAATACCAAATTTTTTATTTTATGCCTCTCAAGTTAGGGTTGCAGGCCACTATTATATGCTGATTATATGGAAATGTGAAAGAATTAATCAGGTAATCATGGACATTTAGTTTGCAATGGATCAATGTATGGAAGATAAAGAAATTTCAAAGAAAAACCTAAGTCTCATTCTTTTACAGGCTGATGTTATAAAACAAGTTCTGTTTGGTGTAATTTATTTAAAGGAACTGTACATTCTACTCAACTTTGGAATCAAGGATAATAATCATGATAGGATGCTCCTTGTACTGAAATATAGAAGTTTTATGCATAAGCATGTGGGACTTTAGTGTACAATTGACTGAAAGCATCGAGTGGAATTGGAGCAGAGAAAATCTTAAGTTCAGGATTGAGCTTGTTGTTGTGGCAAAATGAGTAAGTTGGAATTTATGTAAAAGAACTGTGTATTCTATTGAAAACATCTAATGTGCTTTACCAACATCATTTGTAAGGTTTCTATACTGAGATATGGGTGAACTAATAAAAATTTCACAAGAATTTAGCCTTGGTTTCCCTTCAAATCTCTACTCCGCAGCCTTAAGAACCTCTCATGGTTCATGATCATCATTAGAGAGGTTTTGAGGAGATCCTCTTAAAGTGCCTTTAATGTTTGAAGGCACTTTTATTATTCAAACTATCGTAGTAAGTAATTACGATAATACCCAATATGGGTGCCTTGCGTCTGGTTTTATAACATCTAGTCTGGCCTCTACAATTATTTTAGGAAAACTGAAAAGAAATCCATTTCTATTGATGTCTTACTGAATTACATCTCGGTTAATAAAGAAACTGAAGCACAAGACTAGGGAATAGTCATTCATGTTTCATAGAAGATTGCAGAAAAGAAATGTGGAGAAGTGAGAGCATGGGGTGCACAAGGATAATACAGTGAGTCTTAGAGGGTTCATTGCCGTCCAAAGAGTATTGGAAATATGATATGTAATTTAACAAGATAGAAGACATCCTGTGCAAATGGATGTTAAAATCTGAGTTCATTTATCCAACTATCACAGAAAAAAGATTTAGAGATTTCAAATTGCTTGAGGGAGGTCAAGGACTGATAATTACCTGCAAGTCAATGAACAGAATTGCACTAGAATAAAGAGAATGAATTAAATAGTTGGAAAAGAAGAAATTCATTTCAAGGGAAGATTAATGCATGTGAAGATTTTTCAAATGAATAATGTGAAGTTTCTGTTGAGATGCTAATGAGAGAATTAATTGCTTACATTCAAATGAACTCTATGGAATACAATAAAAACAGCCACCATTGGTTTGTGAAAAGAGAAGTAGACAAGAAGGTAGGGGTGTAAATAGATTGGATCAGGTGCGGGTCAACCTGAACCCGACTGGGTCCTTGTTTGATCCCAACCCAACCCGGGCCCTGGTCAAGTCCCCGTCCAATAAGGTCCAGGCCAATTGGACACAGCAGGTCAGGTTTGTACGGTTTGAGAGAGTATATAAATTATATTTAGTATGTATATATGTGTGTGCATGTGTGTGTGTGTGTGTGCGTGCGTGCGTGCGTGCGTATTCCATTCCGCACTCACACATCAATAGAATAGCGCTTCTCCACTTTGTGGGTAGGCTTGGCACTATAGATTAAATTAATTTCGTTTCTTTTGTAGTCTGGGTGGTTTGTATTTTTATTAATAAAATAAATATTTAAGATAGTTTTAAATGTTTTCTGTATTTACTTGAGGCAAATAAAATTTTTGGATCTCAATCCTTTTCTATGGGTTTTTCGTAGGAGGGACAATATTCACAAGATGTGCCCAAAGTCTTACTAGATTCGAAAACCTCGCCGCCTCTCTGAAGCGGTAAAGGAGGCTGTTGGGCCTCGCAAGAACAGAAATTTAGGTTGAATTTTTGTTGAAAAGATCTCTTCTGAGGACATCTTTTTTTGTGGTCCCACTGGTTTATAATCATCACCTAGATAAATAAATATAAAAAATATTTAACATCTAACTTTTTACTAACTTGAACACCCAAGTTTACATTGGCCAGAGTCATGACTCATGAACAATATCCTAATTTGGTCATTGTTTGAGGAAGCAAATAGGTAGTTTGTGCCCAAAGGAACACAATGCAAATATCCGTTGCTTCTTTATGTTCATGGTTGTCGTCTCTTTTGTCCTCTTCCTTGGTAATAATGTAACACTTAACAATATAACATATTAATTAACATATTATAATAGAATATAATATATTAAAACAACAATACATTATAAGGGCAGTTTGCATAC